CTCCGTAGTTGGCTGCTGCAGAAGTCCAGCTACCCTCAGCCTACCACGCTGTGAGAGGCTAGCAGAGCGAGCCCTAAAGGGCCTGAATAGGAGTGAAGCCTTTTTGGATATTTTAGCCCAGCCCCCAGCAAAGTTGCTGAGTGAGTCCCATAGGGAGGCTGGGGATGTAGCTCAGTAGTAGTGTGCTTGCCTGGCACCAGCACTTCAAGAAAATGGAGAAGAACCTGCCGTCCACGCCCTTCCCAAATTCCTGGCCCACAGACTCTTGAGAAAATAAAGCAGTTCTTTTAAGCCACTGATGTTTTGGAAAGCTATGTTTATGCTGCAATAGATAACCCAAACATAGGCTTACAACATTCGTGTATCTTCAATGCAGAAAATCAGTGTATTTCATTACAGTGTCACTCCTGACCTGAGAGTGTTAATTGATGTATACATACATTCTACCTTTCTAAATTAAAGTCTCAATTCTGAAGTCCATCTAGTCCCTAGGGTTTTAGAAAGGGACTGGTCTTTGTATTAAGGAACTACAACTGTCTAGACTTCCTTCTGATCTTGGACATTTGCTAAATGTCATGTTGTCTTCCACTCCTTCAGCCATTTTGCGTGGGTGTCTTATTTTCCCAGCAGCACCAGCCCTTGCTCTAATCAGCTGCTCTCTGGCTTCAGCTTCCTTCACTTTTTCAGAGTCTTATTCTCACAAGCCTTCCAGCTCTTCACTCAGAGGTTCTGATTCCATGGGTCTGAGGTGAGGGATTCCAGCAAGTTCCCAGGGGAGGAGGCTGAGGCTGCTGGTCCAGGGAGCAGCTTTGAGAACTGCTCTATTTAACATTTTTACTTTATTTACCCACCAGCCCTAGGTGCTTACCAAATGCTTACTAAATATTCACCCTTGCCATGCTTTTCACTTTGCTCCCTTTGGTCCTCCTGGCTAGGTCCCAGACTTAAAAGAAATTTAGTGCTTTCTTCTTAGCTCAGCTGATAAGACACTGGATAAAAGGCCCCTTCCAACCTCTTTTTTAACCTGTCTGTTGCCTTGGAACAGATCAGAGGAACGCCTTCACTTGTGAATACAACTTGGTGGTTCTGGATAAAATGCTTGTTGTCTCTCTTCACAAAACGGGAGGGGCACAGGGAAAACAATCTTTTTGGCCAGAGACCCATCCATCAAAGCCTGTCATTTTTACAGATGGCACCTCTGAGGCCCAGAAAAAGTAGAGCCTCTTGCTTGGGGCATAGAGCCGACAAATGCAAGTAACCGGGCTTGAGCTCAGGTTTCACCTGACGGCTAACAGCCACTCACTCAATAAGGGGGCCCATGTGTCCCCCACTCCCATCGCAGGAAAGCACAGCCCCTCCGTAAGCACAGACCACACCTCTCAAGCCTTTTTGAAACTCCTCCACCTCTCCAAGGGTGATGGGCCGGTCACAATGATTCATGTTAACTAGGGACCTCCAAAACGCCTCCCTCCTCCCTCGGGCCCTGGCGACATCACCCCGGCTCTACCGGTCCCCGCCTGGAAGAGTCTTGCCCTTGCGGCCCCGCGATTAAGTGGTTCCTCAAATTGTTCCCGACAGGAGAGGCAGGAAATAACCTCGGGCTCCGGTGGCTGCCGTGGCGGGAGGGGGAGAAGCGCCTCCGGGCGGTCCTGGGGGCCTCCATCGATCTCGGGTCTAAGGTCCGGTTGAGTCAAATTCCAGCCACCACCCAGCCCGCCTCTCTCCTTCGGCCACTGAGTCCCGGCGCCGCGTCACCAGCAGGACTGGGCTTCCCGGGACCGGTGCGCGCGGCCCCCGCGCGGGCAGATGAAGGAGACAGGTCGGCGACGGGCCGGCCGGCGGAGGCGGGGTCCCGGGAGGCCGAGACCTCGAGGCCCCCTCTGAGCGCCCTCTTGGCAGTGGTATCGGCCGCAACAGGTGACAGGCAGGGCCGGAGCGGCGGCCCTGGGCTGGGCGGTCCGTCTCAGCCGGCCTCCCGCCCCTCTCCACGCCCCTCCCCTCCCCTCCCCCGCCTCCGCCGCGTCCCCGCGGCCCAGCAGCCTCCCCTCGCGCCCCTCCTCCCCCCGGGCGGCAGCGCAGCCCCGGAGCCCGCGCGCGCAAGAGCCCGGACACTCGCGGGACGCGCGCGGCGCCCGCATTGGCCGCGAAGGCGACTCCCGCGCGCCCCACTCCCCCTCCAGCTGCGCTCTCCTCCCGCTCGCCGGCGACCCCGGGCGCAGCGCCGCGCGTCCGGCCCCGGACGCGCTGGGGGTCCCCAGGGACCGGCCAGTCGGGCCCGGGCGCGACGATGGAGGAGCAGCAGCGCACCCGCTCGCACACTGTCACCACCACCGCCAGCTCCTTCGCCGAGAACTTCTCCACCACCAGCAGCAGCTTCGCCTACGACCGGGAGTTCCTGCGCACCGTGCCCGGGCTCCTCATCGTGGCCGAGATCGTGAGTGCCCGCGGCCGGCCCCGGGGCGGGGGAGGCAGACGGACCCCGTGCGCTCGCGCCCCGCCGCGCCGCCCCTCCCCTCCCCTCCCCTCCCCGGAACCTGCTGCGGTTTTCGGGCGGGCTTTGGGGGACGTTTTTTTGCTCAGACGTGCCTTGTTCACAAAACTCAGGACCAGGTCGTTTTAACTTGGGCTCCCTTAAGAAGAGAGGGTCGTGGCCCGCAGGATGTTTACTGAGGGTGACACCAGCTTGCTGGGCCCCCTAGGTCGTGGTGGCCTGTCCTGGGAGCGGATGCTTGCTGGACATTGAATTGAGTGCCAGGCATACTGGCGCCTCCTTCACCTGATTCCCCACGTGGATGGCTGCTGTCTGAGATCCCTTGGAAGGGGGAGGGCTCACTCTTTTCCTGATGATCTCCCTGTGGTGAGATTGAAGTGTGTTAGGAAAAAGTTACTGAATAAAATCTGAGTCTCAACCTCCTTGAAAACCAAAAAGCGTCGCCAGTCTGGTGCCGTGCACATCCTAGTGTAGGCTTCAGAACATTCCTAGGGCTGGAGGAGTGGCTTAGGTGGTGCAGTGTCTACCTCATTAGTGTGAGGCCCTGAGTTCAAACCCCAGAACAGCAAAAGATAAAATAAATAATTAATTAATAAAAATATCCATGGGCTGGGGGTATGGCTCAAGTGCCTGCCTGCCTACAAGCTCAAGGTCCTGAATTCAAACTACAGCACACACACAAAAAAAGGCATTTTTAGATCTGGAGTGTGACTCAGCGCCTGTGTAGCAAGGGCTGAAAATTCAAACCCCAGTATTGGGGGAAAAAAATCTCAGGGAGGGGGCAGAGAGCTTGGAGGCCTAGACTCCCTAGATGTCTCCAGAAGTCCTCACCAGTCTTTCGTGGCTTAGAAAGGACAGGAGCCCTGCTGACAGCTACTGGCCATCACTGTTCTTTGACTCTTCACCATATGCCAGGGTTGCCAAGCTGTGTAGATGCTTGGAGCTCTCATATAGTCCACACAACTGTGAAGGAAGTGAGGCCTAGAGAGGGGAAGTTAAGCACACCTGTGATGGTGAAGGACTGATTCCAACCTAGGCTCCCCTTTTTCCTGGTCTCCGAGCTTCACTGCTGAGAGGCATCTCTTCCAGCTGTGTGACAGTGCCCCTTCTGCTATACCTGGAACAGTTGTGGAATTTGTGAGAGCTCAAGAATAGGAGTGGTGCAGATGTGGCTGACACTCAGCTCCTCTGAGGGCCTTCTGCTCAAAATTTGTTTGCTGGCTCCACTAGAGTCCCAGATCCATCCCAGACCCATTGGAGTCACCTCCAGGTGGTTCCAGACACAGAAAGTTTGAGAAGTGTTGGCTTAGCGTTTCTCCCGGCTGGATTCCTTAACCAGTACTGAGGATATCAGGAGACCAAATAAGTAGCTGAAAGTATTGGAATCACTTTGCCGGGTCTGGCTTTAAAGAGTTCAACAAATATTTGCTGTGTGAGCAAAAGGGTGCCAGCCCCACTCACGTCAGCAGAGCAAACAGAAGCTGAAGCAGAGATGGGGCTGGGGTGGGTTTGGACCAGGCACAAAGTAAAATAAATGCCTCATACTTTCTGATTTCAGATCAATCCACACTTTTTCAGGAAATGTAAAAACAAACAAACAAAAAAAGAAATGTAAATGAACTACACCACTAGAAATAAACACTGTCTATACATCGTATATCTTTTTGGATTTCAGTAAGCTCTCTTTTTTGATGGAAAACCTATAGCAAAACCATGCTTATTACTGCTTCAGTTGAGGGTTTTTTTTTTTTTTTTGGGTACTGGAGCTTCAGCTCAGAGTTCTACACCTTGAGCCACTCCACCAGCCTCTTTTTTTTTTGGTTAGGGTCTCGAGAACTATTTGTCCCAGTGGGTGTTCCTCCTGATCTTTGCCTCCTGAGTAGCTAAGGATAACAGGCATGAGCCACTGGCACCCGAGTTTTTATTTTTGACAGAGCTAATTGTGCAATTGTGAGTCAAATAGTTCTCCAGGCAGAAATACAAGTTTTGTCCACTATCTCCATACCTATAAGTACCCACATTCAAATCTCTGATTTAACATTTATAATGCTGTTTCGTGGAGGTCCCCACCCCCATCTCAGGCATTGCCTACTGCCTTTCCACTCACTTTCTTGGGCCAGCTCCAATTATACATATACCCTTTCTGTCTCTCAATATAGCTATCAGGCGGCTTGGGTTAAACCAGTAGCCAGTGTTGACCTATGACACCACAGACACTTCACTGCTGAACCAGGGAGTAACCTATGAATACTGTTTTTCCCTTGCCAAATTTCTTATTTTCCCTGGTGTTAGTAATTTACTTTTCCCATGTCTTAGTTCTTCAGATGTTTAGTCACTTTAATTTAACACAAGTGGTCTAAATTTGCTGGGAAGCAGAGAGATTGCTGTGTTCTAGCATGGTCACCCCCATGACCTTCCTCACTGGGAGCCTCTGACGGTTCCCCCTGCCTGATGGCGCCCTGTCACCATGGAGGCTCTCTGCCCCTTAAAGCCCTGCTCCCCTGTCCAGTATCCTTCTCTGACTTGCTCTGGCTTCCTTACTCCCGTGGGAGGACACACGGCCTCTTCTGCTTTCCTAAGAAAGGATGCATGTGGAAACTGAAACTTGGATCTTTCAGAATGTCTCGACTCTACTGTTATACAAAATTGTTTGACTAGGTAAAGAATGTTAGGTTGGAAGTTACTTTTCTTCAGAATTGCAAAAGTATTTCTCTATTGTCCTTTAGCTATCCTGACTTTTTTTAAAAAAAATTATTCCAATTTATCATCTTTCTCCCAACCTGTATTGGAAGCCTGTAGAATATTCTTTTCCCCCAGAGATCTGATGCATGACAGTGAGAGTCTTCATATGAGTGTGAATTCTTCCCTTATACTGGGGCCTAGTATGTTCTCTCAAAGAAAGAAAAGTTGTTTAAGGAGAGTTAAAAATTTTTTAACTCTTTCCATTATTTTGGTTCTTCAAAAACTCCTGTTACACTTTTTTTTTTTTCTTCCATGCATGTTTCCTTACTGATTTACTACACCATGAACATTTTTTAGTCTCTGATCTCTGGCATTATCAGTTTTCTGTCATAAGGGAGAACCATACTTGATCTCCTCCATCTTCCATTTTAAGATGAATGTGTTTCTACCTTTTCCTAATATGACCAGTGCTATAGCAGTTGTCCTTTGTCCACCTGTTCACATTTGTCCAATGATTTTTCTTGAGAAAAAGTTCCTTAAAGTAGAATTGTTGGAGCTGGGTGCCGGTGGCTCACGCCTATAATCCTAGGAGTCAGAGATCAGGAGGACTGCAGTTCGAAGCCAGCCCTGGCAAATAGTTCCTGAGACCCTATCTTGAAAATACCCATCACAAAAAGGACTGGCGGAGTGGCTCAAAGTGAAGGCCCTGAGTTCGAGTCCCAGTACAGCCAAAAAAAAAAAAGTAGAATTGTTGGGTCAAAAGGTACACAAATTTAAGGGTTTTGTCACCTTAGAAGATATCTTCCCTCAAAGTTCTTTCCTCAAATCCCCTGTAAATGATCATTAGTAGTATATGTCTATTAAGCTAAATATGCTTTAAATTTATTTTTATTATTGGTATTGGAGTTTGAATTTCAGGCTGTGTACTTGCTAGGCAGACACTCTTCCACTTGAGCCACACCTCCGGCCCTTTTTGCTTCACTTTCCGGGGTCTCATCATTTTGCCCGGGGCCAGCCTTGAACACTGACCCTCCTCCCTAGGCCTCCTGGTATAGATGACGGGTCTGAGCCACCATACCCAGCTTCATTGGTTAAGATATGGTTTTGCTAACTTTTTGCCCAGGCTGGCCTCCAGCCATGATCCTCCCCATTTCTTCCTTCTCAGTAACTAGGATTACAAGTGTGAGCCACTGCACCAAGCCTAAATATACTTTTTAAAAGGATTTTGGAGGAACTCTTAAAATTCGAAATGCTAAGGATCACCTGAAAAGATATACTGTGTTTTAATTTGAAGATACTTTTTAGTTCATGGTTTAACATCTAGATAAGGATGCAGCTTATCATGAACTTTTTTTGATGTCATGAAATGATACCACTGACTCTTTATCTGCAGATGGGGTGTGTGTCTTAAACTATTCCAGTCCCATCCCTGAGATTAAGATACACCCGCCCACAAAATGCTACTTTCAGCCCTGTAAAAATACTGAGACAAAGAATTGTAAAGACTCGGACTTCTGCTTGAACCTGAGGAAATGAAATAATGGAAATCAAAATACAATGTTTCTCCCAATCTCTTGTCAAATTGCTTGCTCTGGCCAGTTCACAGGGCGATTGGTAGTAGCTGTTCCTGCTAAGACAGACAAGGCTTTGCCAATTTAACACTGTGTTGCCGCCAAATCGTGCTTTCCTTCCTTTTAAAGTTCTATAACAAGCTAGAAGCAGTCCAGTACATGACCTGTGAATTGTAGGATGCTGTGATCTCATAAGTATTACAAGTACTTGAAGAATAAAAGTGATTTGTAAGAAGCTGAGTTAATTGTGCCCTTCCTATTATTGGTGACTTTTAAATGAATTATAGCATGAATGCAGTAATGTTAGCTCACCTTTTATTTACTTACTGTGATGAGTAAACTTAGTTGGGGAAGGATAAATAGGGTTTACTGAGAGCTACAATCTAAATAACTCTACCGTTTTATTGCGTTCCTTTATTTTTAAAAATAACGAGCAAAAGCAATGCTCAGTCCATAGAGAAATGCAGGTCAGAAAAACATCAAAAACGAGTTCTTGCTCCTCACAGTGGTTCCTCACAGGCATGGTACACCCCCAGTCTAGACGTGGGTATGGTTTTGAGGTTAGTTTTGTTACAGTAATGCCTGGATTTCTCCTGGAACTCGGGACCCTGGGGGCCCGGAATGCTGACCGGCCTGAAGTGCACGGTGCAGTTTCCAAAATCACAAAGAGTTGCTTCACCAGTTGCCAGA